CGCGAAGGCCTGCTCTCAAGCTGCTGCTGTGGCTGTGCACGGACGGGACTCATCTTCATCTTCCACTCGTCTTCGTACTTCTTGACCAGCTCCACCAGTGGTCCGTACTCCTCCTCGCAGCTGTTCTGGCTTGTAATAGCATCTCACTCTAACAACACGGACCCGCCTTCTGCCCGGAAGCGACAGCAGAGGTGAAGAGCTCGTCGTCATCGCCCTTGAGCATGCCTGCAATCCTTTTACTCAGACTGCAATACGGCTGCTCGCTGAAGGTCGCGACAGATGCCAAGCCACCCCGCTTAGCCCACTCCTTCGGATTCAGACAACTCTGCAGAGACTTCTGAAACTCCATGGCCGTCTTCTTCTCAGGTGCATCGTCCGGGATGGGCAGATGGCTCAGCCGCTCCATGACAACAAACCGCAGATGCAGCATCCCTGTCGCCTGCACCGCCTGCTCCCTGCTCAACTCACGCATGTGGGTGGTGGTCGGCAGGGTCACACCCAAATGGTCCTTCAGACTGCAGTCCTCCCGCATCTCCTGGGCAGAATTTCCCAGCAGAAGACCTAAGGTTCGACTGTGCCTGCTGAGGCCAGGACCTGACAGATGAGCGACAAGACGAATCTTTGCTCCTCTTTGGACTTCAGGCTGTTGACCCTTGGCAATTTGGTATCTGACAGAGGGCATGCAGCAAAGTGCCGAGACTCTTCAGTTATCATAGGACGAGCTGCACGCGGACAACGATGCTCCATTTGCCAATCCACGTGGTCGTATTCTTCACATACTGGCATGCTTTCATCGCTTCACTCATGCCAGCCGCATTCGTCTTCTCAAGCATAGCGGTCAGCTTTTGAATCTGGTCCGGTGTTTTCACCTGTCGGCTTCAGGGCTTCGTCTTATAGTTTCAGGCCTGGGAAAAACCGGGCCTTGTAGGCCTCGCCGTTCCAGCGGATGTTCTTCAGCAACAAGAACACCTCCTCGTGAGTGGAGGCCTTCTGTTGGGCAGCCAAGGCGGCCCGGATCCTGGCATGAGTGCGGCTACCAACTACACCTGCCAAAGGCAATGCCACGGTCCTGCTCAGTCTGCTGGCCAGAGTGAACGGCATCGCATTTGAGCATTCCACCGCCTTGCGGCCGACATCTTCAGCCCCTTGTATGACGTCGAGCAGCATCGTTGCCGCATCTTGGGCATGGCCGCGAGTCATCGACACGACGACTCGTGTGGACAAGCGCCTGTACCTCTCAGTCAGGTCATGGTCCATCGATGTCGCCGCCTTGCCGAATGCGAAAACCAACGAAGAAATCTTCGTGGAGTCCTCAGGCGATACTGCGATCTGCCCTTGCTTCGTTTCAGCCACCACTGTAGCTGAGACGAAGATCTGCTCGACGGTCCTCCCAGCTCCAAACCAGAACTCGGCGGACTCAGCCAGCTCCACAGTGGAGGGAACTTCCAGGCACTCCAGGTCGAGGTCGCCAATGCAGACACTAAACGTCGATGCCTGTCAAAGACTGAACCGGCAACCAGGAAGACTAGCGGAAGTCTTTCTACGCAAAGATATCATTCCTATCGCCCTAAAGCCAGGGGGCCTCTTTCAGGCTGGAGCCCTGCCAGCCATTTGGAAGAACCGGGTGACTGCCGACCTTCTCAGCCTTAGCCGGAAAGAGCTTCTTCTTCTTCAAGCAGTCCAGGGCGTCTTTGAGAGCATCACGCCCGGTCTCCATGGCAAAGTCCTCCGTCTGGACCTCCTCAGGCTCAGCCGTGGCCTCAGCCTTGGAGTTGGCGGGCCCCTTGGCCGCCGCCTTCTTGGCGGCTCCAGTCGACCGCCGCTTGGGAGCCATGGCAAAATGCTCTGTTCAGCTCGAACGCTGAAGCCAAAAATCTTTCTGGGAGCAGCTGGAAAAGCCAATCATGCCAAACCGACTTCGGAAACGATTCAGCCGACAGTCCTGGCCTTCTCAAAAGATCGGCTGGTCGGTGCAACAGCGAACGTACCTCAGGCATGCAGGGAGAACGGGATCTCGAAAACGTTGTTCCTTCAACTTTTATTTGGCTGAAAGAAAGTTTGTGAGATAGTTGCACGCCCAGCGAAGTGTGCAATTATACGCCTCGGCCCGGGGCCGAGGTGT